CCCCCCCAAATTCCTGCTTCCTAGGCATGGTTGCCAGCCGGGCACTCCAACCCCACACCGTTTCCCTCTCTTGCTGACCCGGGAATGCAAGGCAGAGCGCAGGGCTGGCCCCCACCCGTGCCTCGCCAAAGGGGGGCTCTGGCTTCTGCCTGTCTCCTCAGTCCCCGGCCCTCAGGAACCCCCCTGCCCCCTCCCGCCGACAGCCCCCACTCCTGTTGCCGCCTGTGCTCAAGCAGGCACCCCCAGCAGACCCCGAGTTCGGGTCTCCAGTGAGGGAGATCACCAGCGGGTGTTTGGGGCTCTCCTGACCACGACCCAGGGGAGAAATGTTCCGGGGATGGGGGTGGGGCTTCTGGACAAGTTTCCCACGGGTTAAAAAAGGAACGTGATACAAAACTTTCCCCTTCCCTGCTCCGAACGCCGCGATGGACGATTCATTACGTAGGCATATGGTCGATTAAATCATTGGCTGTTGGAGATTGAGCTCTGTCTCCAGCCCCCGCCCTCCCCAGAGGTCCGGGTGGGGTTGAAGGTTCGACCGCAAGGGTCACCTCACCAGCATACGCTCTCGTCCCTATCTCTCAGAATATCACAAGGGTTTCAGAAGCTCTGTGGCAGGAAGGGAAGGCAAAGACCAAATACGTGTCTTGTTGCTGTCACACGCGGTGTTCACAGTGGCTAGGGTCTAACTCCTCCCGGGTAAGCACTCTTTGTCTCGTCTCCACCACGTTCAGCAGGGCTGAACTTGCATCTGGCGTCCTGACCTTGGGAGGCCACAGCGTCAGAGCACAGGTCCTGAGACGGCAGTAGCAGCGGGCCAGACTCGGGCCACTGGGGCCGCTGGGGCCAGGAAGACATCCGTCCCCCCGTGGGGCCCTGGGTCCCCGGCCTCGAGAAGGTACAGACCACCGAACTGCCAGCCATTTCTGCCCTGATATCTGGTCTCAGACAAGTTCTGGCCGCTTCTGTAGAGGGAGGCAGGAATTATTACAGCTCTCTGTGTGGGTATTAATAATCTTCCCAAATGAAATACCTTTAGGCTACTGTCCCATGCTGAGAACAGCCATCTGCTATGGTGGCTTTTAGCTTTTTGGACATGACCCACTTTTTGCATTTCAGCTCAATACACGGTGTCATGAGATAACAGTTTCCTTTGCCATAAGATGCACTCTGATATTTTATGTATATTTTTACATGCTGGTTTCACCCCACTACACCTATTTGTGACAGACTACAGTCCGAAAAGTATGGAGGGACTGAATTTCCCCTCTGCTTCCTAGCTGGCCTATTACAAAGGCCACACCTCTCACCTTGTTAGCAAACAGGGCCCCCATACAGTTGTACAGGTTGTGCACTGCACAACTTCAAAATGCCGCAGGAACCTGGTGCTATACAGTATGTAACAGCACGGGGTAGCTCTATCGATAGCAAATGATGTGGCTCTGTCTAAACGGACTTATCAGCAATTAAATTAAATTAATCCCGATTTGCCAAAACAGTGAGTCACTAAAGCTTTCTGAGCCTCGTCTTCTGTATTTTTTTTTTAAGTTTTAATGTTTATTTATTTTTGAGAAAGAGAGAGAGACAGAGCATGGGCAGGGGGAGGGGCAGAGAGAGAGGGAGACACAGAATCTGAAGCAGCTCCAGGCTCTGAGCTGTCAGCACAGAGCCCGACGCGGGGCTCGAACCCACGAACCGTGAGATCGTGACCGGAGCCCAAGTCGGACGCTTCACCCACTGAGCTCCCCGGGAACCCCTCATCGTCTATATTTCTAAAATGAGGCTAATTAAGGGTGCCTGGCAGGCTCAGTCGGTAGAGTGTGCAACTCTATCTCACGGTTGTGAGTTTGAGCCCCACACGGGGCTTAGAGATTACTTGGGAAAAAAAAAAAGGAAAGGGAGCCAATTAAAGTGGCCTTATTTACTTTGCAGAGCTGTTAAAAGAATTTAATGAAAGAGGCTTTACGTCCTGGTCTAAATCATCGTCATCTTTGATCGATGAGATCTACTCTCTTTGAACTTTCCAAGTTTCGAGGCCTCAGTCACGGGAAAGGGGACCTTTGTGCTCCCACCTTCACCTACTGCACAGAGAAGTGGGTCCTGGGTCCTGCGCACCGAGTTCGGGGTTTCGATCCGTAGAAGCAAGCGTAAGCCCTCACCCCCCCCCGCTCCCAGACTCTGGGTCCCCATCACGAGAGCACAAGTTCATTCACGGCCCCTTCCTGGAGGCCCGCTGTCGTGCTTTTCAGGAGAGAATGAACACTTGGTTACGAAGCGATCGTAGAACAGCCACCTCCGGACGGTGTTGTGCTGTCTGCTCACCGTGGGTCACTATGACCGTCACAAAACCACGAGGTGACCTAGAGGCTGACGTGCACGGACACGGCTTTGTCACAAGCCAGGGGAAGTATCAGGCGGCGACGGTCCCCTCGAGTGCAGCCAGCAGGAGGCTCCCTCGGCGGTCACCGGCCGGGGCCCTGGGGCCCCCAGAGCGTGCCTCCCACAGCCCCCCCTCCCGCTCCGCTGCAGAGACGCGGCCGGCGACAGGAAGACAAGCACGTCCGGCTCATTAGACAGCCGAGGCAAAACGCCACTGTGCGCGAACCAAACTTGTCCGTTCAGGAAAAGGAGAAAGGAGACTGTTTCCAACAAAGCCACCAAATCTCTGGGGTTGGTCCGGCACCGGGACTCACTCATCTGTTTCTGAGAGTATTTTTTTAAGCTTATTTATTCATTTTTGAGAGAAAGAGTGAGCGAGAAGGGGGCAGAGGGAGAGGGAGACCCAGAACCCGAAGCAGGTTCCAGGCTCCGAGCTGTCGGTACAGAGCCCGACGCGGGGCTTGAACCCGCAGACCGCGAGATCGTGACCTGAGCCGCCCAGGCGCCCCTGCTGCACCGTCTGCTTTTATAGGCCGTCCCTGAAATCGGTAACACTGGAGGCCTCCGAGCGACCTTGAGGATGATGTCGTCAAAGCCCAGGAGACGTACGTCTTCGAACCCCAGCCCCGCTTGTCGATCTCTGGTAGCCCGCTCAGCCCAGCAGGCTCGGGTCGGGTCGGGGGCCCACCGAGTCCGGGCGGCAAGTGTTGGGAGGCCTGGCCGGTCACAACTCCGACAAATGGGGGCCTCTGCCCACCCGTGCTGGGGTGGGGAGCCGTTGGCGGCTCTCGTGTCCCTCCAGGACCCCCCACTCGTCCACGTTCACATCTGTGAGCGGGACGCAGAGGAGGCGCTCTCAGAAACCCCTCATGTCCCCGGAGGGGGCCTTTCAGCCCCGGCGGTTGGGTTTTCATCCGGGAGGCTCCCGAGGCAGGGGAGGGGAGGGGGCAGAGCTGTGGAAGGAGGGGCGGCCGATAAGCCGTGCTCTCCGGGAGTAGCTGCGGCCTGATTCCGCGGGGGACCTTCGCGCTGAGCATACTTCACAAGTACTCTGAAGGTACCAAGGAGCACTTAAAACCCGGTTCCGGGGGCTGCCCCCGGGAGTCCATTCCTTTCTTGCTCAGCTGGAAACAACTGCCGGGCAGAGAGCAGGTCTCACTGGAAGTCGGCTGGAGCCCCGGGGAAACGGGGTGTCTCACCGGGTACGGCCCCCCCCCTCCAGTACCCTAACCCTGCCCCCAACCCCACCTGAGTCCCGCCCAGTCCTCCGAGGGACAGCTCGCCCAGCGTCCCCACCGCCCGGCATCTTGCCGGTGGCCACACGGGCGGTCGCGTCTGGGAGCCGGTGGTGTTAGCCAGCCGGTGACCCCGGGGGTCGGCCGCCCCTTTTGCTCCTGTGCGCACGGAGTCGGGGGACGGAAGACTGAAACCAGGACTCAAAGCAAAGCCAGGTCAGAGCCGGAGAGGGCCAGGGAGATGGCGTGGCCACCAGACGAGGTGGGGCCGGCGGGCGGAGGGGGGCAGGGGCCATCTGCAGCCCTGCACAGGGCAGCTTTCTCCCCGGCCGTCCTGTGGGGGCAGAACGTGCACCAGGAACCCCCTCGGGTCTTCTCACCAAGTGAGAACTGGTCCCGAGCAGGCCCCTCCTGTCCACGCCGCCCTCCCCACGCCCGCCCCGCTGCGGGCCCCGATTCACAGCGAGGAGCCCTGCGTCTCTCAACCACACTGTGCGAGGCCACCTCGGGTCGCTTCACCCCGTCCCCCTCCGAACATGGGCTCTCTCGGGGAGCGCCCCCACCCTCCCTCTGAGGACGGGGAGGCTTTCCAAGGACCTTGGGGTGTCGGCTCCCTCAGCTCGCGGATTCGTGTTCCCTTTCGTCCTCGGAGAAATGGAATGCAAAGGGAGAAGCAAAAGCAGAGAGACGCAGGAAGGTGAGGGGTCTCGTCCCTCGGGCCAGCCGCGTCCCTGAGGCCCAGGAAAGGCCCCGGGCGTCTGAGGCCTCGCCCCGCCAGGGCGGCTGCTCCAAACCTCCTCCCTCAGCGTCCTGCCAGGCACTGCTTTCGTTCCTTGCCCAACGCCAAGCTGAGCCCCCACATCCTGCAGGCTCGCGGCAGAAGGGCAGAGAAATGCCTCTGGATCCGCACCAGGCAAGAGCCGCCTGGCCCCCCCCCCCCCGTCCAAGACGGGCATTTGGAAGGGCCTGACTTCCTGCCGTGACGCCCCCCTGCATTTCCAGTGTGGCGAGCAGCCGGCCGGCCCAAGAAAACAGCGCCACGGGGTTTTGGATCACCGCAGGGGAGAGTTTGCGCAGGCCCCGGTAGCTTCCTGGGGAAGGTGGCAGGGCTCCCGAAACGATGAGGGCTTTGGGGTTATTTTGCTGCGAACTGGCCAGAGGTGGGAAAACCGACCCGCACCCCAGAGCTGAAAGCCACACGGTTCCAAAACGCAGGGGCTTTAAAGAGCAGCCTTCTGGCCGCCCCACAGACCGGCCCACATGCCCGCGGGGGAGCCCTGCCCCAGCCTGAGACCCAGGGCTCACCCGCTGCTCGTAGGCGGGACCCTGAGGTTACGGATGCGCAGGACGATGGCTTTCAAATCGCTCTGCGGACCGACGGTTTGTGGCAAACGTCGAAAAAGTTATTTCAAGTCGACGGACTCAAAGCGGGATGTCCTGTGGCAAGAGGAGGAGGGGAGAGGAGGCCCATTTTCTCCAGGTAAACGCGGGCCCCTGTCCAGAGGGCCCAGGGCCTCTAAGCCAGGCCTGGGTGAGAGCCAGGAGGCGGGAGGGCCCGCGGGTGCCCCGGCGAGCCCCCGTGCGGCCCTCCATCCACCACGGGACCCCACGCTCTGCGCGCCTGCTTCATTCCCTCCTTCCGCGACCCTCTGGTGTCTCCTGTAACCTTTGGCCTGTTACCCTGTGAGAGAGAGGTCTTCCATCGTCCTGGGCAGGCGCCCGACAGGTAACCCGCATTGTAACCTTGTATGATACTAGCACCCGGTTATTTTTGACCGTGTTGGCCCGTGCCCGGCCCTGCCTGGCTGTGGGACCCCGCTCCAGCTGGTGCCAGGGGCCCAGGGCCGCTCCTCTACAGGCTGCCGTGACCGCGTGGGGCCGGGGGAACCTGGGGATATGCGGCGACCACCGCCGGCAAAGGAGCCGCACGGATGTGCCCGTGATGCGGGTAAGCACGGTCCTTCCGGTGGCATGATGCGAACAGCGAGACCTCAGGGCCTGTCCCTGTCTGCGGCCTCAAGATGGGGCGCCCCGGGGGCCCCCCCCCCCCCCCGCTCCCTTCGCCAGCAGGCACGCAGGGCTCCTGACGGAGGTGAACATCACGCTTCGGCCCCCGTAAAGGCTGTCGTGTTCACACAGCGCAGCCCCCCCCCCCCATGAAGTCCTCGGCTGGACCCGGCCCCGCCCTCCTCCCTCTTTGATGGGCACAAAACCCCAGAAAGAGGTGGAAACAGCAAACAGCCCACCTCGATGATTTGTTCTAAGACAGAGTGCAGTGCACTGGCCAAGCGGCGAGAAGCCCCAAAGCGGCCTCCCCTCAGCTCTGAGCGACTTAGGCCACGTCAGGGAACAGCTTCACTTGTGTCTCGCTTAGGATGACATCACTGTCGGCTGGCGTGCTGGGAACGTTAGGACCTCGGTGCCGGGCGGGGGAGGAGACAGGAGCCCGGCTCCCGGCAGCCCCACCCATCCATCACACCCGCGGGTTCGGGGCCGGCCTCTCTCTAGAGGGTCTCTGTGGGGGAACAGCATCCTGTCCCCTCACACAAGAGCCCCCGTCTGTCCTGGAGACGGGTCTCGCATTCCCCCCCCTGGTAGAAACCTGTAGGTCTCGGGGTGGGGGGGGGGTGGAGTCTGGGGGAGGGTGCTCCCGTTAGGGGGGCTCGAGGCAGCCCCCCACCCCCAGCCGCTCTGGGCCCCCTGCTGGCCTCGCCCAAGAACCATGGAAACGCTATTTTTATCCTGATGAACAATAGTGCCGAAATGTCTTCCGACTTGGCAAGACACAAAATTTAGGTGCTGGGAGAGAGACTTCAATTTCAAGCTTAAAGATTACTTTGGATCCCCCAGGACTCAGAAGCAATTTAGAGCTGATACCCTGAACAAGAGGAAGGTTACAAGATTAAGACCAACTGCTGTTTGGATAAATGGTTGGTAATTGCCCATATCCGCAATTATACACTGGCACATAATTTCTTTTCCGCTACCTTTCTCCTCTCCTGCGTCCCGTCAGGATTTATTCGGAAGGAGCCCACCTTGGTCGTCTTCTGCCGAGCCTTGGTGACGTCATACTCCACCTCGTCCATCAGGGCCCTGCATGCTAGACAAGACACGAAGCGTCTGTTATCTCCGGAAGGCGCAGACTAAGGCCGCCCGGAGCCGGTCGCTAGCTCGACCCTCAGCCAGGGCGTCCCTGTCAACAGGGAAGGTACTCTCGTCCCCCGACTTTCCATCCACAAGCACAGGTGTGCAGCTTTTCAAAGACAGGTTTGAACCATCTGAGACTGAGACTGAACGCAGAACCAACTGAGACTGATTTTCTTTGTATGGCCCTTTGTACTCTGTGGTTTTTAAAACCATGTATGTTTTACGTATTCATTTAAAATATGCATGTTTGGGGGCGCCTGGGTGGCTCAGTCGGTTAAGCATCTGGCTTCAGTTCAGGTCATAATCTCGCAGTTCATGGGTTGGAGCCCTGCATCGGGCTCTGTGCTGATGGCTCGGAGCCTGGAGCCCGCTTCGGATTCTGTGTCCCCCTCTCTCTCTGCCCCTCCCCCACTTGTGTGTGCGCGTGTGCACTCTCTCTCTCTCTCTCAAGAATATATAAACATAAAAAATTTTAATGAAAAAATAAGAAAGCATATTTAAAAATGTTTAATGTTTGTTATTCTTGAGAGAGAGAGAGAGAGGGAGCAGGGGAGGGGCAGAGAGAGAGAGACAGAATCCGAAGCAGCTCCAGGCTCTGAGCCATCAGCACAGAGCCCGATGAGGGGCTCAATCCCACAAACTGCAAGATCTCGACCTGAGTCGAAGTCGGACGCTCAACTGATCGAGCCTCTCAGGCGCCCCTAAAATATGCTTTTTTAAGGAATAAAGACACAGTTGCTCCTAGTCTGTCAGGGATTCCCCAAGCCTCCCTGGGTCGCATTCATTACACTCAGGGAGCCTCCGCCTTACGGGAAAGGTTGGCCCCAAACTGGGCCCTGCTCCCAAATGACACACTTTTGCTGGATTTGAAATCGCAGGGAGCCTCTGACCCGTACCTCTTACGGGCTATACGGCGGGTTCGGTCCCTTCTTTCCAGGCACTGCCTCAGCCGCTGAGAATTCTCACCAGTAACAAGTAAATGAAGCGACGCCTCCAACACCAGCCTCATTTGCTCAGCAGAAAGCAATTTTGGACGTGCCGTCTCCGCCCAGCCGTGGCCGAGGGATGTGGAGGCGTGATGGAGACAAAGCTCCCCCATTCGGACGAGGCATAAGCAGCTTCTGTCTGACTCAAGTATTTCCGAGTCTCCCCGTGGGAACAGCACTGCCTTTACCTGCCCACGAGGTAAATTCTGGCACTGTAGACCCGACCCGGTTCTAGCGCCGTGTCCTGATTGCACACGGGACCGGGATGGCCCAGGGCCCAGGCGGCCCGATGACGACGACAAAGGCCAAACCGTCCCGATGGTGACCCACACCAATGCTGCGGGGGCTCGCTGCCCTCCTGATGCGGACCGAGCTGTGTTCCCACGCGCACAGCCCGAGACCGCAACAGTCCTCCTGGGTCCCTGGGACCACACGCGTCTCATGGCAGGGATTTCAAAGTGTTTTGCCAGCTCGTTTGAGGGGGCAAACTGTTGGTGGCTTGAACCCGTTTTGCATAACTTGTTTTGATGGCTGTTTTGATCTAAGAAAGGAGTTGCGGACACTGGGGAGGCTGTCAGGGGGACGTCCTCAAAACCGAGGGGCTGAGGAGGACTTGTCAACATGAGCACAGGGAGGGGCCGTCATCACGCGGTCTCTGGAAACTTCAAAGAATCTGAGAGGACTCGGGAAGCGTGTCCGGCCTGGCGAGTCTGCTGCTGGCCGATCTGAACAGCTCTCCGGAGGTCCTGGACACCTGTGCCCACGTGGCCAGGCCGCTCTTGGTCGGTGGTGGGGTCAAACCGTGCAGCGGGCTCGGGGGGGAGGGAGGCCCGGCCCGGCCGTGGAGGGGCTCCTGCTCGTGGGTACTGGTGCACGGTGTGCCGTGGCCCCTGGAGAAACGCCCTCCGGAACAGCCCGGCCTGCCCCCCCTCCCCCAGCTACCCGCCCCGGCAGCGAGGGACCTACGCGGGCGGCTGGCACCCCGCTTTGGCCGCAAGGACTCACACTCCCCAGAAACAACCGGTAGCAAAGTGCACCTCGGCTGAACCTGGACTTGACGGCCTTCCTCCCGCTTTCCCCGGAACGATCGTGGAATTCATCTATCGTTGGTTCGGAGTCCGTTATTTCGTCATTGGCTTATTAGGAGACATTATCTGCTTTGCTACTGGCTTGTGAAAGAGTATTATTATAAATTACAATGCCCGCCATGAACCTGTGTTAAATAGATGACCAGCAAAGAGCATCTCAGTCTCCGGGCATAATTTTCCCCCAACAAAACAGCCCCAAGGCCGTCACCAGCGGGGCATGGAAGGTGTGTGGGTCCCTGCCTAGGCCGTCCGCTCAGCGCTTTCTGCGTCCCCCGGCGGGTCTCCCCCCACCCGGGGAAAGAACGCGGAGCCTCAGACAACACGCGCGTCCTTTCCGGCACCTGTACGGCCCCGGATGGCTCTAGAAGTTGTGTTCCATGACCTTCCTTCCTGGAGAGAGAGCTGGCGCTTGCCCTTGGCCCTGGGGTCGTCCCCTCCCTTTCCCACCACGGGGGCCCCCGATGAGCTGGGCCAGGCAGCCCACAGATACTGCAGGTGAGCGGCCACAGGGGCTGGTCCCCCGCCAACCCGGACAGCGATTCCCCATCCCCTGGGAGAGTGCTCAGTCACTAGTTTGAGTTTGTCAAATCCCAGGCGAACGTAAGCCTGTGCCTCCTGGGCAGGAATCGGGGAAGATGGTCACACGCCAGCCCGATGTATGCTTATTCCCTCAACCTGGGATAAGGCGTCAGGCACCTGCAAGACCCCTTCGCCCACCCTCTGGAAGAGTCCCGATTCCCAGAATCCCACCCTGACCTGGTGACCCACCTGGGATCCTTGAGGTCTCTCTGCTCTGTGTCACAGGCCCAGGTTTCAGAGTCCAGCCTGATCAAAGGTGGCCTTGGCTCTCGAGAGCCCACAAGGCTGGACGTGGCAGGTACGGAGTGTGCCTGCCCCCCCCCCCCCGGGGCCATCGGTCATATGTTAACACCTGTTCCCTTCCACTCAGTCCCCAAGATTCGGGGCCACCGAGACAGCCATGTAAAGGATGTCTCCTGAGGACGGGCCCCTGGAGGGGCTGAGCTGATGGCCGGGCCCCTGGTGTCAGGGAGGCCCGTGTCTCCTGCATCTCTGCCCCCTTGACCCCGGGGTGGGGGGTGCGGTGGGAGGGGCCACACCCACTGGTCGAGCAGAGCATCTCAGGGTCAGAGGTGACCCCCCCCCCCCCGACACGGAAGGTTCTAGCTTCTAGGACAGGCTGGGAGGGAGGAGGGGCCTCCCCATGGAGGGGCGGCTCAATGAGAAAAGATCATTTTAGATTTCTGCCCCAGGTCACAGAACAAGTTAACAGAGTCACATCAGCGACCTGGGCCTCCAGATTTCCAGTCCGGTGTTAATTTAAATGTTAATCTGAAATCTTCACTTAAGTCACTGGAGTTTTGGGTTTATTAGAGCAGGCGGCAGGAGTGAGCCTCATGGGGGGGTTGGCGGGTCACGTTGCCTGCCAGAGGGCGAGCCCTCCTCCCCGCTGGGCCCGCCAGCCTCTTCCGTCTGTCTGCCTCCTCCCTTCTCCTGTCCTTCCTCTCTCTCTCTCTCTCTGTCTCTCTCTCTCTCTCTCTGTCGGAGTGAGATTTGGCAATGGCAAGGAGGTGGCGGTGGATGTCACGGCAGATTCAGCCTATCCCGGAGGAGCTCAGGTGCCGGAGCCTTCTGGAATCGCCTGGAATCCCAGCCCTGCAGTTAGTGAGCCACGTGGCACCGGTAGCCAGAGAGCCGCCTGGATGCGGGCGTTTACGCAGGGGACCAGGCAAGGGCCGCGAATCAGGAATCGCGGCCGCTCTCCGCCCGGCCCTGCTCTGCACGTGCCCTGGAGACTCGTGGATCAACCGGTGTTCGGGCACCTGCTGTCTTCAAGGACAAGCGCAAGGTACCAGGAAGGAGCAGGGAGGGAGAGGTCACAGACCAGGCCCTGGAAGGAACCCGCACTTGACTGGGGGTCCGTGAGCAGCACTGATGTGAGAAGGAGCCGGGGACGTGTGGACACGCGTGCAGACGCCTCGAGCAGGCAGGGCGGGTGAGGGAGGCCGGGCCAGGCAGCCCGTCCCTCAGCCGCACGTGCCGGGGAGCCCCAGACCCACCTTGGAAGGGGCCGAGCCTCAGGCCCCGGTCACAGGCTCTTGGTCACTGCTGGGGGTGTGGCCTGCCTCTTTGACAAGCACCTGTGACCACACGACGGCCACTCAAAGACCGCCCGGGGCGCCCGGGTCCGCTTAGTGGAGCCCGACACCTTTAGGGGGAGACGAAGCCCTGCCCGCTGCTCCCCACGGCGGGGAGGACACGTCGGGGAGAAGGGAGCACCACCCCCCACCCCGCCGACGAAGCAACACGCGTTCTCCTACGAGCAGAGTGGCTGATACCTGAGTCTGTCCGCAGCGCTGTGGGCCCAAGACCTCCAGAGGGTGGTGGAGTGTTGGACAGTCCCACTCGGGAGCGGAGGAGACACCAGCCCGGCCAAACCCACGTAGAAACAGCGACCCGGGGCCCGGCCACACGCCTCCTTCCTGGGTCCTCCTCCCCTGCTCCTCACCGTGCGGTGCGATCGTGGCTCCAAGGGGGACGGTCCGCAGCCGACACCCGGGATCTGTGGACGTGACGGAACTCGAGATAGGGTCTCTGCGGACGATCACGTCACGGCGGGGCCTTAATCCGGGGCGCCTGCGTGGCTCAGTCAGCTAAGCGTCAGACCTCAGCTCAGGTCATGATCTCCCAGTTCATGAGTTTGAAACCCACATCCGGCTCTGTGCTGACAGCTCAGAGCCTGGAGCCTGCTTCCGAATCTGTGCCTCCCTCTCTACTGCCCCTCCTCTGCTGGCACTCTGTCTCTCTCTGTCTCTCAAAAGTGAATAAACATTAAAAAGTTTCTTAATAAGAAAAGATGGGCCTTAACCCAATGTGACTGGTGTCTTTATAAGAGGAGAGACGCAGAGACAGACATGGGGAGGGCACCTGTGAGGACGGACGCAGGGTCTGTAAGCCAACAGTCCGCAGCCACCACCAGAAGCTGGGACGAGGCCTGAACAAACCAGGACGTGCTGAGTTCGGGCCTCAGAGAGACGCCCCGAGGACGCACAGGGACGGGCCAGGCTTGGACCGAGAGGGGCCTGTCCCGAGGTGGCTCAGCGTCCACCTCTAGGAGGAGGGGAGCCGGGGGGGATGTGTTTGGGCGGTGGGGACACATTATCATAAGAAGATGTTCTCTTTTTTCTCATTGCTTCTCGTTCAATATTATGTCTTAAGCATTATTTCCACTTGCTGCGTTGCGGTGACTTTTTAAATGTTTGCTTCGTACCCCATCAAGTAGACGTACCGTGATTTTCTCCGCTCTCCTATCTGTGCACATCAGGTGCTCCAAGTGTCTAAAAGATGCATCACGTGGGCTTGAAAATTATCTTCCTTTGCAACACAGCTGCCTTTTCCAGTTAACCTGGAGCCATCGCTCAACAAAACACTTGTGTCCTGACTCTCTTCCAGGCGCTGGGCCAGGGTGCGGGGCGGGGGGGGGGGGGGCGGGAGGCCGGGGGAGGACACACAAGGGGGAAGAGCCACGTCCCTGCCACGGCCACGGCCAGGGTCCCCACGACGGGGTCCGGGAGACAGGAGCGCAGCCGTGCCCCGAGACCGGCGGGGAGGGGGCGGGAGAAGAGGACACGCCCACCACATTCTGCCCCGAGTTGGGGGGACCCGCACAAGGTGGAGCTTCCGTAGAAGTTCCGGGGGCCTCGCAGTTCTCACTTTTGCGGTCTGGGAACAAGGAGAGGCCTCCCGGGAATGGAATCGAAGCACGGGCCCCACCCCAGACGGTGAGGGAGCCATCCTGGCCCCCGGGGGGGAGCCGCCGCGGGAGGGTGACCGCGCCTGAGGCCAGCCGAAGGCAGGGAGCCACTCGTGCCCGTGGGAAGAGTCGGGTCACGTCCAGGCCTCCGGTGTGGGGCGGCGACAGGGTACAGCGGCCCCCGTCGGGGAAGATGGGAGGCGTCCCTGACAGAGGGAGCGGGAAGGCCTGTGGGGTGAGGATACACCTGCCCGGCGAAGAGTGGAGGGAGCTGGTCCTCGGGAGAGGGGGTGTCTACACCACAGCACCGCAGTGGAAGAGCGTAAGGTGAATTTGAAGAACGATCAAAAATGGTGGCCCGAGGCCTGAGTCCGAGTGTTTCAGAGGACGACGGCGCCTGATCAGGCTGCCGGGGTGGGCAGGGACCATGCAGACCCTTGCAGGCAGAGGTGAGGAAGTATGTCTTTCTCCTCAGCCACGTGGAACCCCTGCGGTATCGTAAGGTGTGGCTTGTGATTTGTGTCTTCCGGAAACGATTCAGGCTGTCGTTAGAAGAGGCGGAGGGGACCAGGGTAGGTGCAGGTAAGCCAGCTGATAGGCTACTGCACCAGTCCCAGCAAGGGATGACCGTGGCTGGAATCACAGTAAGCGCAGAGGAGACGCTGAGAGGTGGACGACTGCGAGAGGTCTGTAGGAGGTAGCATCAGTGGGATTTCCGTTCTACTTTCTTCTGTGGTGGTGACACAGCATTCCTGTTTGGTTACCGGCAGCCACCTGTGTCAGAAAACTGACTCCCTCCCGGGTCAACCGCAGTAATTCCACGCGTGTTGCCAGTTGCTGGTCTGGGATTGCACACGTGGAGGAGCTCTGGCCGAGACACGGGGAGAAGACTTTCCTCTCTTTCACAAAGCGCAGGCACGTAGGGGCCCCGTCCGTGCCACTGCACAGGAGGCAGTGTGGGCCGTGCAGCAGGAAGGGGGCCAGCAGGAAGGTGGAGAGCCTGGCTGTCTACCGACGTGTGGAGACTGCCACGAGCCGCTCTACTCCCGGGCTCGCTCAACTTTCTCCTCGTGGGTGAAGCCACTTGGACTTAGGGCGAATGTCGCTGGCTTGCTTCTCACGCCTGTCCTGTCTCCTAGGGTGGCCGTAACGACCACGGACGGGGCTCCCACAGCAGACAGTCCTCTCTCACGGTTCCAGAGGCCACAAGTCCACGAATAGCTACCAGCCGGGCCGGGTATCTCTCCGTGGCCCGTCCGTGGCCCCTCGTGGTCCTTCCTCTGTGCGGGCCCATGTCTGTGTCTAAAGCCCCTCTTCTTACAAGACGAGCCACACTGGACCGTGAGTTACCAATTACAATTCACTGGTCGTTAATCACAAGCCTAACCCTCACTCGGGTTATGGTCCCCAAAGACCTCTTTAAAGACCTTGTCTCCAGGGATTCCTTCCGAGGCACAAGGGGCGTAGGGCCGCAGCCGACGAATTAGGGGGGCGCACGGCTCAGCAATAAGGCGGGAGGTTTGCTACCACGACCAGGACGGCCACGGGGCAGCGGCTTCAGCACCGGTTAGCTCAGAACCTCGAAGGTCATCCGTCTCCGGGTCTGGCTCTTCGCCAGGCTCTGGCTTCCCCTGCGTGGCCGCAAGACGCTGTCCCAGCAAGGACTGAGCCGCTCTGTTGCTGCACAAAATCGGGGTTCTGTTAGCGAGGACATGCCCCGCCCAGAGGCCCCCCCACCCCCACCCCACTCACCCCTGCCGGAAACGCCCTCCTACTCCAGGCTGGTGTCAGTACCGGGCAGGGATTCAGGGAGGCAGCAGGTGGGGAGGGGTGAGGGGAGGAGGAGGCCCACCAGCTGGCTGGGAGACAAAGCCCAGCCCGGAGGCTCATGCAAATACCGCCGGCCATCCGGCTCCCCTCGCCAGCACATCTCCACGGCAACCCATCCGCGTGAGCGACTCCCCATCGAGTTTTAACCCAAATTATATTTTCCAGGCCTAAAATCGGCGTCACTGTGAGAAGGAGAACTCATGCTAACAACTTTAGGAGGCTCCGGACGTGAGGCAAAGAGAGATCAATGGCAAAAAAAAAAAAGAAAAAAGAAAAAAAGGCAAATCTTACAATATTTTACTCAGAACCCACCCCACAGGCGTTTTCCATCTGTATGATTTTAAGAGAAAGAAGCGATATTAGACTTCGTTACTGCTGGTGTTTGTTTTCCAGGGAATATTCTAGTTGCGCTGTAATTCTATTTACCTACACTCTTACTCAGTCATCCTTGATGTTCGGGATAATGGCCTTTAGTCACCAAGGGAAGAGCTAATTAAGAGCATCAAATGCTGTTTACCCTGGGAGGAACGTGGGCAAACACACAGCCGAGAGATTTCTGGAAGTAGCAGCACACCGGTATCCCGTCGGCCTTCAGAAACCAGGGATCCAACCAACCAGAACAGCACCGGAGGCTCACTTGAAAATCGCTTTCTTTGATTCAGCTGATTCTCACCGGATGGCTCTTCGAAATCTTCCACCGGACACCTCTGGAGCATTGACTTCCTTCTGTGAGACTTGGCAATGTTAAGAAGAGTCTGGAAGAAGCTTAAAACAGGCCATTGTGATGCGGCTCAGCTCGCTGAGCGGGGCTCCCGTCCTTCGGGTCGCTGTCAGTTAAAACCCAGCACACGTGAACGAAGGATCACCGGGGACCGTGGTCCTGGAGCCACGGATCTGGACCCATCCACGGGGGGGCCGGGCTTTCGTCCGTGGGGCGCTTCCGGCCTCAACGCTGTGCCGCTCACTCCACAGGCCGTGACACTGACCCCCACGGAGCAATGTCGTTGTCATCCCGTTTTGCTGACGGGGAAACTGGAAAGTGCCTTGGCTCCTGAAGAGCCAAGATTCAACACCAGGTACGTCTCTGGAGCTCGCTCACGGCCACTTTACCCAAACGCCTTCGGGGCAGAGAGGCACTAACGCGCCTGGGGTTGGGGGGCAGCCGGCAGGCGGGGCGCCTTCCAAGGCCAACAGCGAGCCCGCGTTTGGCCACACCATCTCCCGAGGGCTCTGGAAAGCCCGTCGCGAGGCCCACCGTTTCCACCGGAAAAGGCCTGGTGTGGAAAGAAGCCGAAAGGCAGGGCTCGCCGTGAGTTCTAACAAGCCGAGGAAGAGATCACCCAGGCTGACTTCATCTCGTCACGGCGAGCCCCAGCACTCGGGTCAACGCGACCCACCGTAACCAGGGGCCCCTCCGGTCCTGCCAGGAGTCTTACCTACACGCCTCCGTCTAAAGACGCCCGCCCTTCCCAGGAAGAAAGCCATTTCCCAATAAAGTGTCAAAACATGCCCCCGTATGTTCTAAAAAGGCCACGGCTCTCCTGCCCATGGCGGCGGGGGGGGGGGGGGCGGCTCTGGCTCCATGGAGAAAGCCAGGGAGCACTCGTCAGCGAATCCCACTCGGCGGTCCCACTTGGGGCGAGGAACCTGGCCGCCGCAGAGCTGGCATTTCCAGAGAGTGACGTGCACGGCTCTTCGAAGGCTCAGGCTTGATTTCCCCGCGTGGGCACAGACCCGCCTGTAGAGGGCAGAGGGAGGAGGTCCACGGAACCACTGCTTCCTAAGCCCCGCTTTGGTGGCGATGCCGGCATTTTAAGGTGCCCTGGGGGCCGGGCCCC